AATATTTTTCCATTTACATGATATGCAGACTTCGGAACTTATGAAACCGAAGAATTGACTAGTTAGACTTCACCTGGGAAATTATATAGGAGTCAAAAACCGTTTGTGGAAAAAATAAATTCGAAATCTCCAGTCAAACTTCCGATCAAGAATTTCTAAGGGCACTTCAAATATGGGCTCCAATTTTTTTAAACCGATTATGGTTTGTAACCTAGCGGCCTGCTATGTTTTTTGTTGGAACAATTCACTCCAACCGAAAAAAATATCTTACGAAGAGCGCACTAAATTTCCATAAAAAAACATGGCAAAGTTGTTATTTTTGTGCAGAAATTAAAATTCGCATACTCAACGAGCTCCTACCCTGAAATTATTGACAGTTGTTACAGACTCCGTGTGTACTGACGATGGCGCTGAATTATTTTCTGCGGATCGTGTTCTTCTACGAACGGCCTGTACTTGCATCCGCCGAAGGGTTCGAACTACGTTATCTCGACACTTTGGACAATTTTCGGCCGTCCGGAGCCACCGGTCAATACATTCAGCATGAAAACTGTGGCCGCAAGGTAGGTGACGTAATCTGTCATTGTGTTCGTATTCGGCTAAAGAAGAATAGCAAAGGCGTTTAAAAAAGGTCCAAAGATTGAAATCGTAAGACCGTATAATGAGACATACATAGGCAGATCTCGCATTCTGGCTTGCCCCGGCTAGGTGAAACTGGTAGCTGATTGACTGGAACCACTGCATTTTCATTTTGCTGTTCAGGAATGAGATGAAAATTCGTGCCTCCACAAGCTGGTAATGATGCTCTTCTAGCCGCTTCAACTGTATTTGCTACAACTAAAAATTAGGAAAAGCGGGGAAACGCATCTCACCACAGCCATATGAATTAGCATCGCGCTGTTCTGAGTCGACCTGAAAAATACTGGTTGGCAGTCTATCAAGAACGCAAGAGGCCCAGCGAGTTGTCGTCAACTGCACTACAGATCCAGAATATTGGGAAGTTGATTGCATTGGCGGAATTCTCCAACGTATTCCTCGAGACCGTGGGAGAGAACGCTGCCTTAAAGTGAAGAAAAGAGTTTAAAAACTGTGAAATATATCCATATGTATATGCATTCATATTTATTTGTATGCTACTGGCACGCAAACGGAGTTCATTACACAGAAAGCAAAACCGATGTGCCCTAAGGCCGTCGTGCAGGGAAAACGTATCGTCCGACGGCGGAGGTCGGGAGACATGCACATCACTAGAATTCGCTAGTCTACATGCATCTAGCCTATCTTAGTCTAACAAAACAGTCACACCATCGCTCTTA